TATCTATATCACAAAACAGTTGATGCTTTTCTCCTTCCAACCGGAAGATTTCCCGTTAGGGGAGGAGGGCCATACATGGCGGGGTTACCTCATATTGTTGTTGAATGTAGACGGTCGTCCATTGTTGTTAATCTTCTTTTTTCCACCTTCATTTCCTGTTCAGGGATATCGTGGGGGGCGGGGCGGGGGCGGGCGCGCGGAGGCGGCGGGCTGCTGCTAGTTGTAGTAACGCTGGTAGTGGTTTCTTAGTATCTGGTGTGTTGTCACACATTGGAAATTCCTAAACTTTTACCAGCTTTCTTTTCTCCATTTATGGTCTTAGGGAAAAACGGCGTTGTGTACATTATTATTTCATGTGTTGCCCTCATTCTTTCTTAAGTTTAAATGTTTGGAGGTAATAGGGGGTTTTGAAGGAAATGTTTGCCAAACTTTATGGGCGTCTCTTGAGGTTTCTGAGGCGTTTTCAGGTTTCCGGTTGGGAATGTATTTAGGGATTATTGTTGTTTTTTTACTTCAGATTAAAAAATCTTTTAATTACCCGCTCTTTTCATAGTTGGTTACAGTACTTTTAACACTGGATCATGCATCCATTAGAGGGCGGACCACTATTTTGTTTGTCTATACAAACGGTTAATTTGATTTTTTTTTAAAGAATCTATGCCTTAAGTTTTTGGTATGCAGAAAATTAGTTCAACAATTTTCACCTTTTAATGACCCCACCAATAACTCCACAGGGGGGACTCCGGGTACCAGACTCTCCTTAACACTTGGGGACTTCTTAGTGTTCCAGACCCACATTGGGCGGGTTTTCTTTCCACGGGTTATTCGAAAACCACGTGAGGATTTCTCCAATTTCTAGGAACTTAAAGAGGGGCCCATTGGGGGCTTAGTTATAACTAGTATATAAGGTTATTGTGTGTTATACCGCTCGGTTAGTGACGCTGGATTTGGCCTGGACACACGGTTAGACTGCAGTTTTGGGTTGGGGGGAATATTCCCATTTTTCCGCGTGGTTTCCCTTTTCCATCCTAGTGTGGTGACACCCACCCAAATTATCCAAAAGCCCACCCCCTCACACCCTCTTCACCCTTCTCGCTCTTCCGCGATCCTAGATTTCAGCCCACACGGCTGAAAAAACCCAAAACCCGGCCTCCCTTTGTTTTTTGCCATCAGACTTAAACTTGAACCGCCTATTATTGACACATACCCGGATACAAACCGGGGCATTTGGTGGTTTTAAGGTAGCTGACTTTGGGATCGAACGTAAAACCGAGAGTGTTGTGGCAGGCACCTTTCCACCACCCTGGCGGCTAAACCAATAATAAGGGAGCAGTGGATTACTTTAGGGGGGTTTTCCACCATCCTGGGGGCCACGAGTGTGTTTGCCTGCGAGTTCGGCCACTTCAATGCCGCGCCGGGATCTTCTAACCCACGTTTTAACCATCCACAAATGCTTTTAAAAACCCCTTGACACACAGTTACCTTGTATCAAATTAATTGTTTTTAACATGTTATGGTTTAAATTTTCAGTTTTAATGGAAAGTAACAATACCCCATTTTATACCTCCATGATCCAAGGACCCATTGTCTTAAGGATTTTGGGTGTAGGAGGGGGACTTTCTACATTCGTTTCAATGGGGGAAAATTACTCAAAACGTTTTGATATGCTTAAACTAGGTATATTTCATTTAACGGTACTTTTCCAACTATATTCTTTGTCAAAATGTAACTAGTTTTGAAACCGCCGGTTACAAAGTGCCAAAAATACAGGGGTTCAATTCAAACATACAAAAAGGGGGGCCTTGTCGGGTGTAAAAAGGCCGATTTGGGTAAACAAACCATGACCCTCTTCTTTCTTGTAGACACTGTTTTCTTTCTAGGGCCTAGTCGACTGGGCTTTTCCCAGGGGGGGGGGGGGGACTTCGGCCCTCTGTTGTGGGGCAAGGCCGGATGGCCTTCAGATTTGTCTGGCCAAAATCGGCCAGGGGCTTGAAAAAAAACTCAGTGGGTAGTGTGTGTGTCGTTTTGTGGTTGGCTTGGGGTGAAGGAAGCTGGTTTAGGGACCCAGTCGGAGGGGGCACTGTCTTTTAAGTCACCGTGGGGGCGCCAGTTACTTTCCCCCCCCTGGTCTAGGGGAAACAGGGCTAAGAGAGGGGGCTGCTTGTGTTGTTGGGGGGGGGGGGGGGACAACCTTCCCTTTTTTTTCCTCCTCTTATTACATGGACTACGTCTTTCCTGCTTATTTTATATTTATTCCGTCTTTTGCTTTTGCTTTTTTTTTCTTACTGTTGTTTTTTTTTGTTAGGTTTCAATACTTTATAATGTCTTTTGATTTTTTCAGAGAATTTTTTGTTTTTATAAACGTTTTTTTGCGAGGGTCTTTAGCTTTTTTGTTGTAAGCTTTGCTCTTCTGTCTTTCACTCTTCATTTGCATTGTTATTAACGTTAATTTGAGTTTTTTTAATTGGGGGGCACCAAAGGCTGAATCCTAGCTTATAATTTTGGTTTTCGTTTTTCTTACCCATTCTTTTCTTTAATTTTGTGCCTTACAACTGCTGCCCCGAAAAAAGAATCTAAATTGCAATTTTGAAAAAAGGTAAAGCGTTCTAATTACTGTATGCTTCGAGGAACATTCTGCTTGAGTTTTTACTGGGCCCCACTGGAACCCCACGGGTTTTTCGAGCTAAACTTTTATTTTAGTTCCACCCCGTTGTTTCTAGAGGAAAAAAACCTATCATAGTAAATGCCTTTCATACCTAATTACCCGCACCCCATGTTTCCGTGAAATGCAGGGTTTAGAGCTACTCTAAAGTTATCCCCCTGGATTTTTTCGGGGTCAGGGAGTTGCCCCACCCAGCGACCCACCGAAAACTAGTCTACTGTAAAACTAAAAAAAACCACAGTTCTTTTATTCAGATACTTCCTTTTTCTGCCCCCAAAAACCCAGGGGGTGGTTGTACCATTTTACCCGCCCCTTTCATATTCGCCGTGACCCGGTTCACCCCCCAGCCATTATATCCTTCTTTCTTTCCCGACCACTTCTCCATATTTTTACCGGACTGCCTTTTTTTTTCAAATCGGCAGCCGTTTTCCCTCCCTCATTCCGGGGGTAGGGGATTTAAGTAATCCCGGGGTCCTTGTAACACCTTCCCATATTATCCCGGACAGGGATCCCACGCGCCTTACCCATTGCACTCCTGCACAAAACATCTCCCTTTCTTTTGTCAGCATTTTCAGGGGTTCTCATGAACACAAGTTTTCAGGACCAAAAATTTCCACGGTCCCTTATCGCCGTTTTTCACGGGGGACCCCAAAGTTTATTGGGGGCCCAATAAGGAGGGTGGCTGTTAGCAGGGGTGTTTAATTCTTGTTTATTTCAACATGGGGTGTGTATATTTAAGTAACCGTAGTAACCTCGGCCCTTTCAACATTTATTCCCCATCAACCTTCGACCATACTAATTTCAAAATTGAAAAACACTTAAAAAATATTTTCTCGAGTAGTGGTGGTACCAAGCTCTCCCAGCATACCTTTTTTCAGATCTCATGTTCATAGCTCTTCTCGTCTTCTCTTCTCTTTTCTTCTCTCTCCCTCTCGCCTGTGTTCTCTAATCTTTAATTTTGGTAAACATTTACTTTAGGTGGGGAAGTGGGTGGGATAGGGGGGGGGAAGGTAAGGGATCTTTGCTTTTATCACCATAGATGGTTGGGTTAAGTGGGGTTACCCCACTAGATTTTGCTTCTCGAAGGCCCATCTATACTGGGGGGGGCTATTAAAGAAACCTGTTTGTTCGGTGGGGAGGGGAAGTAGAAGGAGGAGAGGAGGAGTAAGAGCAGCTTCATTAGGTTCCCTGTCCACCCTTAATTTCACTTTAAATTGGGGTGATGTACATGGTGCAAATTGACTAGGGAATTCTCCCTCTAATTTTATTACGCCAGAATTGTCCTCCCAAAAATTATTAAACAGTTAGTCAGGCGCCCCACCAGGACCCGGGACTGGCACAAATGCACGAGTTTCCCAGCTCAAATTTCCCACTAAAAGGGTTCCGGCGTATTACTTTTATTATCGGGGGCGACATACCTTGGGGAATTTTTAAAAAAATAGGATTGGACAATATTTATATTTAATTATTTTGAACCCGCCATCTGCCGCCGGTTATCGGTGGGGCGTTTTAATTTTGCTTTGTTCTGTTTCCTTATCCGTATGTGGTGTCTTCGGTTAAAATTGTAATTGAGGGCCACCATCTTTTGGCCTCGAAGCAGTAGGTGGGGGGGGAACCATAGTCAAATTATTACCTCATTTTCCACATAGTACTGTTTACTGTTATTTAATTTATCGTACTTGATATTGGTTGGAATTTATTACTAAACCTGTGGACCATTTCATATAGCGCTCGGCCCCAAAATAGAGGTGCCCAACGCACTTTCCCACGTTTTGGTTTAACAGCCCCGTTCGCCTGGTGGCAAACCGGGATGAGGAGGAAATTAAACTTCAGCGATGAGGGAAGCGTAAACTGGGGGGTACAAAAGCAAGCATTAGGCTCATGAAGTAGTAACACCTTGGGGAAAAAATTCAAACGAGGGGGGGGACTGGGACTTTTCCATCGGCCAAACAATCGCTCAAAAAACACCAGGCGACCTTCTTTCGGGGCCCGTGTTTTTGGAAGGCATTTGTCGGACGCTTAAAAAAATGGAAAAAAAATTTTTAACCGGCTATTGCAAATGGGGGAGTGCCAATCCATCATTAGTGTTAACAACCAAATGCTGGCAGTCTTCTTTGCCATCATGGATTCAGAATTCAAAAAAGGGGGAGGGGACGATACAAAAACTCAGAAAGGTCCAAAGGTAGACCGGATCCGGAATAAAATTCCCAGATTTCCACAGGCTCGTAAACCAAAACCCTTATAATTACAAAAAACCCCTATTTTCAGATTCTGACTTCATTTTGGTTTTTTGTAAATTGTGCTAAAATTTAGTTACACATTTATGTATTACCCGCAGGGGAATTTGTAACCACAAAAGCTTTTCAGGGGAAGCACGGGCTTCTATCGGGTTCTGGGGACAAAAAGGGGGAAAGCCAGCCTTCTGACTCTTGAGGGGAAGTGGATAGACCTCTCGGGACCGGGTAAGATAACTGCCCCCACAATACCTCCTTCCAATGCCTATCCTCACTAATTATTAACAACCCCAACATTTACCTTTCCACCTTACTACCACTATTAGAAATCCGAACCTCAAACCAACAAGTATCAAACACGGGAAGCATTCCTTCGATTCACCCCACGTGGGGCAACCCTCCAGTCCCCCAACACGTGATCCCTCTGGCCAACTCTAAGGGGGTTTCCGTGGCCTTTTCATTTCATGGTGATTCATACCCACACTCCCTTACAAGCAACATTTTTCCGGCTTTCACTTTTTTTAAACAGTACTCAGCTCCTAACCATTGTGGCAAATTTTCTTGATCTTTGTTTCAACATGATTATCAGGTTCATAAAGTACTTACGCCTCAATTAAAAGATTTTTTCCCGGTGGGGATCGCATTCTGTTTTTACCAAATCTTTCTTTATACTTTTTGCTATTAATTAAAGATTTCGGGGCCCCGCCCATTACCCCATTATTTCAACTTTACAAAAGGACAAACCCCACAAATGAAGGGGGGGTACTTAGGGCACCACTGACCAATTGGGTCGGCGCCAAACTTCACAGATTATTATCTATGGCTGTATTTTTGGCCTTAAAAAATAAGGGTAAAACCCGAATTTGATGAGCTTTAAAGCGCCCGATAATGGGGGAGGTTTAACCTGGATCAGCTTAAAGCGGGGCCGGCCCCGGGGTAATTACTCTTCCTGGTTTAGGGCCCCCACTTGATACTTTTTAGGTTCTGTAAATTCCCTCTCGGAAACCTTTTAGGCCCCCTGATCTTTGTTATATCTTCGAAACTTAAGGCGGGGGACCCCAAAACTGGCCCACCGTGTGAGCATTTAACTGCCCTGAAAGTTCCGACTTCTGGTGGGATTATAACTTAGTTAGGGGGGACTCAGTGGGGTGCCAAGGTGGGACCCTCCTATCCCTGGGGGAACGTAAAAGTAGTAAGGAAACCCCTGGAGGAATACCCTTGGGGAGGGGCACAAAACGCCACGTTAAATACTAGTGTGGTCTCTACGGATTTAGAATCAGGGAAAACGCTAACTGCAACCATTAAAAGTAAACCCTGAAACATAATATTTTAATTTATCAACTACCTTTGACAAACTAACAGAAACATAGGCGCTAGATTTGAACAACCCTTTTTTTTACTGAGAAGATTTACTTCGTGTTCAAAACCACAAATTTGGATGCCATTTTTGACACCTTGCAAAAAAAACCAGGAAAGCCGCATTTTTACAGTCTTAGGACCGCTAAGAGAAAGAAAGGAAGAGTGTGACCACCAAATGGGCTGGTGTTGAACAGGGAAAGTAGGGCATTGTTAGCACTCAAACAGAGTATTGAGATGAGTGGGGAACCGCTCCAACGCGAACTCAAAAACACACTCAAAGGTTAAAAATGGTCGGGGGACTTTAACTTCATCACTGTTAATTGGAAGCTGTCTAAATTATGCTATGGGAGGGATATATTCGGGCCGGAAATCCGGGGGGGAAGGGTGGTGGCCTTCATTTTTATAAGGGAAAGTTTACTAGATGGATAAAATTATTTTACCATTAGTCGAAAAAAACTTTGCACTTAAAGTTTCAACAAATAATGGGGGGTACAACTTAATCTCCCATCCACCCAGGGGGGAGTCAAGTCAACGGAGTATACGAGGTTCCGGGGACCGAACATAGAAAGGCCAAGACCAAGTACAGGCAAGTTAATACAAGAAGTGCAAACACACACGTGGGAAGGCAGGAAGGGAGAAACAACGGGGGGCACGTCGCAATGCGGAGGGGCTAAGGTACGGACCTGGACCGTACGGGGCCGCACAAACCGGAAAAGCAGGGCGGGCACTTCAAACGGGGAAAGAGATTACGGAGTGGAGTTGGAACGCGGGACCCAGCGGGATGAAGCGTTTGAAGGAAAAGCCGAGGAGGGGGAGCGGAACACACAGCGGGTGAGACGAAGGCTTTGGAAGAATGGGTGGAAGTAAAAGGGGAAGTTTGAATTCCGCAAGTTTGCGGGGCAGGATTGCCAAAGGCAAAGGATCCACTAAATTGGTGGGGACGACCAAGGGAGCAAGATAACGGCGGATGGATAGTTTAGGGCGATTTATTGCGTGGGACCGGATTGCGCCCGCCGGAAACGGGGACGGGGAAACGTGAGTTTTCTAATACAGCGGCCCCCAGTTACCGTTGTACATTCATGAAGAAAAAACAAACGGGGCCCACAAAAGGAGAAGGTACTTTAGCGGATTTTTCAATATTAAAAAAAACCAAAAATTTTAATTGTTTCTGTGGTGGTTTTGTTGTTTATAAACTGGGAAAGTTTTTAAAAAAACAGTGGGGGGGGCACGGGCCCCCATAACACCTTGATTTTTACCCAAATTGTAGAGTTGTATAAATTATAGAACTTGGAGTTCCGCTGATTAGGTGCATTTTTTTGTTTTTGTACCATTACACAAATTCATTTGTTTAATGTATTTCTTCAAGCTGTGGTCCCCCCCGGGTTTCGCCTATGGGGTTTCGGGGGACAGGGTGTTAAGTTGGGGTAGTTCCCCTTAATATCAGGAAAACCTCAGGTCTTCCTAAAACCACCAAACCTTGGCCATTAGCATAACCTGTCTTTCCCTCTTTTTTGCTCGTGTCCCAGTCCCTCTAGTTCTGTATTTGTGGGCGATGGTTTCGTGCAGCCGTTTTCCCTTTGTCTATGTTTGTTTAAGTCTCGATTAAAAAAACGCCCAATTATTCAATTATGTCTCTTTCGATTAAAATGATTATTGCGTGGGTGGATGGCCTATGGGTTTACAAATTTTCAGGTAAATATTTTCGATATTTATTTTTATTTAGCGTTTTTCAGGATTATACTCTTCGCGTTATTCAGACTTACCCCAATGTTATTAACCGGAGTGATATTGGTTTGATTGTATTCTTCTTACCAGGGGTTCGGGGCATCCGGCTAATCTTTACATGCCGGCAATCATTTGATAAAATAAATCGGTAACCCAACAACAAAAAAAAAAACCTTGGGGATATAACTTTGCCGGCTTACCTCTCGCGTTCGCTCTTAATTAAAACTTAATTTTAATAGAATAGAAGTGGACCCCAGCCGGTTTTGATAAATATTCCCATATTTCTATTCCATAGTTATCAGGGCTCCATGCTGGGGGCCACCTGTCCTTTAAATTATTTCCGATTTTCCGCAAGATCTTAGTTTAACCTTTGCCACTTATTTGAGGCCTTTCGCTTATTTATTACATTAGAACTCCTTGACGAATGGGTTCATGCGGATTTGGGCAGCTGTATATATAACTTTAACGGTGCTGAAAACTTTAAAACAAATATAAACTGTCAGAAACACCACCGATTAAATTGTTCGTGGCACAGGTTTAAGTTGTTCCCGTAGGATCTATATTTTAGGGTTGTCATAGGAAGCGTTTTAAAGGATGTCGATCTACGTAATTTGGAGGGTTTGGGTCACTTACTTAGTTAGGGGTTTGCTTCTTAAATAAATTAATTTAGTGTTTAGCGCAAAGTGGTTCTTTATTTTGGACATTGTTTTTTTAAAAAAGGCCAAACTCCAGAAATTCCTATTAAAATGATGGCCGTAAAACCTTAAAAGTCTAGAGAACATCGGGTTATTGTAAGAATCTAATGTAAAACTAAAAAACTACAATGGTGGGGGGACAATGTTGGCTTAAAAAATTGGTTGGGCATAGTAAACCGCTTGTTAAAAGGGTTGGGGCCAGGGGATATTAATGTTTAATCCATCATCTCTTTTCCAAACTTCTTACGGGGGAAAAATACCCCAGTCTGGAACAAATTTTGGGGGGACGCGCAGAATAGATTCGATAAGCTAAGATTTACTGCCTATTAAATTATTGGGCATCAATCGTGGGTAATGATACTATAAGTCGCTAAACGTAAACTACACAATGGATCCTCACCGGCCCTCTTAAACGGTTTATGTCTGCGGAACCTTAATGTTAGATCATTGCACATGCATCATTCAAGTCGTACTTCATAGAACCTGTCCACTGATTTTATTATTTATCAGCTTTCCTCGCCATTTGCAGTACCGAGTCACAGTATTTTCAGCCCCTCATGGTTACTTGAATTATAGATGAGGTCTTTAAAGTTTCTCTAATTCGTTTGACTCACATGAATTTTCGTTATCTGATAATAAGCTTCTCAATTCTCACAGCACCCATCTGGCGGGGCTTCTTATCTCTCTCTCTCAGATTGTTTTCTTTAATATTATTTCTTGTGAGAAGAGTTTAATGATAATTTATATTAATATGCGCATGCATTTACATGGATCAATCCTTTTACGAACTAGAACAATCCATTTTGAGCTTGATGATAAGAGCGGAGCTAATGAAAATTAGGGTAGAAAACGTGAGAAATTCACAATGCTTCTATTAGCAGATTGACCGAGGCTTTAACTACGACAACAATAATTATAAAACATCCTAAGTACGGCAAGATTGATTCTAAGTACTCTTTCTCTTGATAATAGCTCACCAATTCCGTTCTCATTTCTAATATCGTTTCTCGAACTTTGCCCGACCGTCAACATGTCGTATAGTAAGATCTCTTACAGCTCCCGGGTCCACCGAACGGACATTAAATACGAGCACATCATCAGGTCAGGGAGGGGTAAATCCATGGCTAACGACACCAATCCAGACGTTCAACAAGACAACAGGTTGAAGCAGCAACTAGCGGCTATAGACCGTCAAAAGATGCAAATCTTGCGGAAGTTAGGGAGCGACAGGACCAGATCTTTTCCGCGGATTACGGCGCGTTCTAAGGACCCAGCTTTTGCCCAAGACCGACTCAACAGGACTTTGAAGAAGTATGGAATGGAGCTGCCTCAGCTGAAGAAGTGCCAGACTGCCCCGGATTTATATAGATCAAATGAGTTTTCTAAGTCACCGGACGTGGTCAGAGAAGGAGGGGGATCTCCCCGAAAGTGGCTTGCGAAGACTATGAGCTCCCCGGCCAAGAAAATATACTCAGTCCTGTATGAGGCTGACTCATACAGCGCATTTTGTGATAGATTAAGGCCACTTCATGAGCAGAATAAAGCTATGAAAGAGGACATCCAAACCAAGATATCCAACAGAGCTACGAAGGAAGAGATAATATCTAGATCCCAACTAGAAGAAGAGACATCTTGCTTCAGCACTGCTTCCTCCTCCTCAACCTTCACATCCCTGGATCTTCGTCCCACTTCTTCACTGGACAGCTCGGCAGCATCTGTTCACGTGACCTCACCACTGCAAGATAGCTCGGCAGCATCACTGCGGGAACACAGCATGGTGGATCTGCGGGAAAGCCCGGCGGTTTGTTTGCGGTACTGTGATGATATGAGCTCGTACCTGCTGGAGCACTCCAGACTCTACAACTGTAGTGTTGCTAGGGAGGATCAGGAGGAACTGCACAACTGGGAGGCGTACAGACGGAGCTGCCCTGTCGGCAATGTTACCTTCGTCAAGGGGCCTGATATTTTGCAGCTCTCTTATCTTTCGTTTCATTGGTGTGTGGTGGCGTCTATTTTGTCTGTCGTTTTTGTCCTGTACGAGTATCGTTTCGTTCGTAGTTACTGATTTTTATTAAAACCAAAATTTTGAGTTCCCAAATTTTCGATCTAAATTTCATATTTTATTTCCAGAATATTTTGAACCCTGAGTACTGTAATTCAAAACCAAAGTTAGCTCCCAAAGCGCACCACATAACCTTCCTCCAAACCACCAGAAATTAACCGGAACTCACTTTCAGAACAACTCGATGACGCTCTCCGACGTAACGTTCACGGAGGCCCGAACAATCAGCGGCCGCAAAGTAAACGTGATCATGGGTAAAGGAGGAAAAAACTCGTCCCCTCGCAGTTCTGTCAGCAGCACCGACAAGGTGAAAACAGTGGTTCTGGAGGAGAACAGAGGGTACATGGAGGGCTTGCAACACGTCGTCAGTTCGGAGAGTCCCGTTAAGAGGATCAGCGACATCGCCATCAAACCTAGGGTAATTATAATTGTATAATTACCATTTAAATATGTTTACTCATACTGAGATTTGCTATGTTTGATTAGAGACAGTTCTTTCTGTGATTTTTCAAATATATTATCTCAAAACTCGATTGTATAGGTATTTCCGGTGCTAGCTGAAACATAATTCCTACCATGCATATTCACATATTCAGAGAATCAGTAAAGTAATGTGGGCGCCTTAGTAGTGTGGGATGTAGATTTATCAAGTTCCGAAATTCGACAACAATTATGTTGAAGCATGTACATACTGATAAGGTCCTCAAACTAATGAAGTGTTAATATTCATTCTTATTTCACACTTTCTGCAGGCGAGAAAAGTACACGGAACCATGATAAAGATTGAGGAAGTACAACCAGCAGCCAGACCGAGAAAACCTGCTCGAACTGTCGCTCAATCGTCTTCCAGTTCCACTTCTAGTTCAAGTATGAGAGATATTTTGTTAACCTGACACTGCTCTAAATAATAGAATAATTGATCAATTAGATTTGGTCTTTATTCAAAATTTAAAATCTACTCCACGCTTTGATTTTGCGTCATCTTTATTGATGTAGCTAACACATCTTGTATTTTTCAGCTTCCAAACGTCCGGAAAAAAATAAAAACCCCGGAGCTGAGCTAACCAGAAAATGTTTCCATTTCTCACCTGGAGGGCTTCGAAGTCATATGCGGCAAATCTCGTAGTAAGGCCATCTTCATCAGCAAAATCCTGAACACTGGACTATCAACCGGCCCAGTAAGTTCACTTTATTATCTAGTCAAACTTTTACTAACTTTAGCACAATGACTGCCCAAGTTCCACAAAGTAGTCCTCAAATTTGGCGGCCCACTTCCTTACATCCCTTTGTTAACCTCTATCTCGGTGAGCTGACCCTCATTTCCCTCAGGACGGTGTGAGCGTTGGGGACGAAGTGGTGGAAGCTAACGGTACTCCAGTCACAAACTTGTCAATTGAAGAAGCGAACCAGGCCATAAGATGTCAGACCCCCGCTAAACTGGCTGTACGCAGCAACAGCTCCGCTTATCTTGCAGCTAGAGATACTTTCTACGTCAGGTATGGTTACTTCCACATTCCTATCCAAAACTATCTCCTTCCATCCTACTTTGTAGTTTGTTTCGGTTCAAGTTAAGCTTGGCACATTGCCGGACAAATATTTTTGCAGCTGTGGGCTCCTCACCTCATTGAATTAAGCTTCCAACTCTTATTATATGCAGTAATTTTCGGAAGGAGTAATTAAGGGTAGACGGTATAAAGATCTAAACTGTTTGTTGATCATTTTTGCCGACACATTTATAAGGGCGGGAAACCGCAACAAGTTATGACTCTATCTAATTGACCAGTTGCTTTGCTTGGCTGCAAAGTAGTTCATTAGTTCCATCATCACAGTTCACCTTCCCAAACTCAAGATCATCTATCATTTTTTGAGCTTTAAAAGCATCACATTGAGCATTTCCGATATCGCAGTTGTACGTCCCGATCAGATGTTCCATTCTAATGCAGGTTTAGGTAATTTCAGGAGGTCTCCACCAATCACGTCCATCTCGTCCAAGTCAGCCGGTTTTGAGGCAACTGTTGTGAACAGTAGTGTCAGGAACAAAATCATCACGGCGTTAGTCTGTTTTGGAAAACTTCCCTAAAGGTTGGTTCGATTAAATTGTATTTGTTATGATCAAGTTTAGTTTGTTAGGATCGAACTTCTATCTGTGACCATTGCACTGTACACTTACAGTGCGAACACATAGTTACTTCACCAATGATAAGTAAAATGACAATTTTCAGAAAAAGATATAACAACTAATATTTTGACATTATAAATATAACAGTGTATATTTTCAAAAAACAGAATACCGAATATTTTACAAAATAAAAGCCAAATCTAATTTTCACAGGAATTAATACGTCTATTGTTCATAAAAATGTTTTTTTGTATTATTTGTTCTTCTGAGAATCTTGAATCTTGAGGTGACGTACGACACCTCGTTAACCCAATCAATGTCTGGAAGGCTGCAAATTTTCACATGCCGAGATAACGATACATAGAGGCCGCAGAATTATGAGGACTACTGCAGATCCTGGTGGAATCTAAGCGATCCATGATATCATGACAGGCCCTAAGTGCTTGCAAGCACGACCGTCGCCATTAATACTCACTATACTATTTACCCCCTATACTATTATACCCCCTTTACTCTTTTCAGGCATTAAGACTCACCAAAAGTAGTTCAGCAGGCATATTCTAAGTTCAAACAATTCTAATTCAATGTCAAAGATGACAGGAATAGAAAAAAGTTGTGTGGAGGTTTTTAAGAAATTTGCGAAAAATACGCGCCAGCATGTTATACGAAATTTGGTAAAAAAACCCAAAATCGCCATATTCAGGTGCCTTATAAAACCATGTTAAAATTGACATAAAGATCTGAAATTTTACAGAGCAGCTAGGTGTTGACCAAATCGACAGTATTTTTTTTTAAAAGTTTCAGGAGTATCGGGAAATGGGTTTTCTGGAACCCATGCTTATCAAACGATTTATAAAACACCAATAATATTGGTGTTTTATATATTTTTTGATCGCAATATGCAAACATTTACGGTGATAAATATTGTATGCGCATGCAACTTCTGCTCAAAGTTTGCACGTGCGAAAGGTCAGAATTTTGCTCATTCGTGATTTCGAACAAATTTTGCTTTCCAACGACAGTTAAATGGCATTATATATGAATTTAATGACAACTTGAATGAGTGTAAAAATCAATGTACAATTGTAATAGATTAAGAAGAACTACCCGAATGCAGCTGTACTCGGCAAGAAAGATTCAATAAACATCAGCTAATTGGACACTGATACCACCGTTATCCCGAAATACTAGGTATCGACCCGAAAGCAACCCAAAGAGATTTGTACAGAATGTGATTGATGTAATTAATTGAAAATTATTAAAATTCGTAAGCCGTGAATGAATGGGAAAAGCGAGCGATCGATTTCATTCTCGTTATCATTTTGCATTTGCAGACGGTTATTCAAATTATTATCATTTCCTTTTGTTTGGGAAAGAGAGACACTGGCAGCGGTCCACTCCACCCATGATTGTGGGTTTTGGTCAAATTAGTATATTAACGAGAATTTCGGATAAACGTGTTCATCATTAAAATTCGAATAGTTAAAGATTTGTCAGCCTCATTTCAACCATTGTATCAAACAACAACGTTCCAATAATGTACCACATATTAAATTCTGACCAGATGTGTTTATAAGAGTGTCACATATGTTATTGTTAGTGCCGCAAGTGCCACATTATCATATTAGTGCAGCAAGTGTCGCATGTTACATATGATAGTGCCGCAAGTACTAACCGCATACGAGTGCCGCAAATGCCACACTGCCACAGTGCCGCAATTACGTTATAAGGTTGTCCGGAGCTATGGGACTGGTTTTTTTGATATAGTCACGACAAATGATTAAGGTTTTTTAAATCAGTCGATATGAATGAAATATAACAGTGTATATTTTCAAAAATATAATACCGAATATATATTGCGAAAATTAAACAAGTAGTTTACGCTGTTTTTATAAAACAATGTACTGAATATTATATTGTTGAATTGTGGGCTCTTACTAATTCGCTCGCCTTAAAATTGTTCTTAAAAGTAACTAAACGAAGAAGATCACTACAAATAAATTATTATTGCTAAGACACGATGGTCTCCCCAAACTAAGATGCTTATATAATATTAATTATACTCACTCAACCATAACCCAAATTCTAGCAACCTTCATTCAACACGACAAGCTCCACATCGAAGCCCGTGCAGATCCGAACCTCTCTCCTTTCAATCAGCAAACGCAAATGTTTCATCGAGCGCAACTCTCAATAATAAATTTCAGTATCCCCTTCCCTTACTTTTAGACGTCGCTAAGCTTACCTAGACACCGCGCGCTACCTAGAGTTAGACACCGCTAAAGCCCAGAATCGTAATTTCTATGCACTTTATATCACTAATGAATAACTAAATCTCAGTCCAAGTTGTAATCACAGCTTCATGCCCTCAGCGGTTAAAAAGGTGGGAGGTATATCTGACTTGAGTTTGGTATGACTTGAGTTTGGTATGTCTGACTTGAATTTGGATCTTGAGTTTAAGATCCAAATTATTAAACGCTAAAAAACGCTACTGTTTTGCAGGTTGCAAGAAATTTTTATTGGTGGCAAGAGATTTTTATATGTTATAGTCTCCGGAAATAGTGATTGTGCAACTTATAACCTCTCCTAGGCCTATTTAAATGACCATAGTACACCCTAGTTACGAGGTGCCACTGCACTCTTAAGTACGGTAATCTGTTCTGGGTGATTCCAGTTCAACTTCAAACAAATAAGGTTCAGAGGTAGGCACAAGGCAGAGCCCAGGCTGTTAAATTTTGTCATACGTTGTATGACCCGCCGCGCACGAAGTGCGCGGCTCCCCCTGTATCGTCAGGACGACCGTGGGGGTCGCAACGTAATACAAGTTAAATTCGTCAAATTTTCGTCAAAAAGTACGGCGTATTATTATTAAGAGTTTTAAAAAAGTACGCGAATAATTTGCAAATTTACAACTTCAAGTTTTAATTTTTAGGGCGGTTAAATTCGCCAAAAAATGCGCTGAAAATTCGGATAAAATGTGGCTGTGGGAACGCGCAGCATTCTCGAGTCTATAACTATAATCTTTATCTAGTTGGATACATGTAAATTGTGACGTTATAGTTATACTTTAAATCTCAAAATCAAACTTACAAATCGCGACTTACCTGGGGCTGGGGACCTCAGGCTATAGATGTGGATACTGGTGGGGAGGTGAAACACATTTGTTTACTTTAATAGTAAGCACATGTTCAGCGGGTTGAGGAGGTGAAACACATTTGTTTACATTTTTAGGGTAAGCACATGTTCAGCGGGTTGAAGAGATGATACACATTTTGTATTATAGAAGGCTTGTAACACTTGTAACGCTTTCTTGTTACCCCCCTTTGAAGGCCCCGAATTATTTTCTGAACGAAAGCTCAAAAATAACCGAGAAATCGACCTTCTTATTAACTCATTTTGATGACTGTTTCTGACCTAAAATTGCACGAAAAATCGATTTAGCTAGGTTTAAGAACCTATAAACACTTCCTTATCCCTCAAAATTGATGTTTTATAGTTGATACGAGCAACAAGCAACATATGTTTTGATCCTTCGGTTCTACTCATGACCTAGGCAGTTAAGCTGAACCCGACAGATCGAGGCAATCCTCACCTTAACTGATCAAACTGGTACTAACACAATTTTCAGATATAAATGTTCTTTGCGATACGTTTATTGCAGCTTTGCAACTTGAGTGAAGACCAGAGTACGAAAACACACAGCAGGTAAGCAACTCACTTTTGGTGACTGTTCCTCACGAACATTCTGATCCTGTAACAATTTAGTATACGGTAGCTTAGAAGTGAAACCCACTTATTGTAGTACCAACTACAGTGGCGTAACGTTGCCAGTTGGCGCCCCCTGCCGAAAAAAGCGCCCCCCTGTTGGCGCCCCCTCCCCTTTTGGTGCCCCTCCCTAAAATTGAACAAATTAGGTGATTTTAGAGAATACGCCGGTAAAATCTCTAAAAAAGTGTGTATCTAGAACAAAACGCGCAGTTTTGCTAGTACTTTAGTTAAGTCTTCGAAATTGTCCCACATTCAAACGACGATTTGGCGCCCCCCTAAGACGGCGCCCCCCTGCACAGCGGGGTCAGCAGGGCCTTTCGTTACGCCACTGACCAACTATGGTCATACGAGACTAAGGAATAATATAAATAAATAAGTTACATAATAAATTACCATAATATATAACAAACATATGAACAGGGAGATCGTCTCCTTAACAAATCGAACAGGTACTATCACAATTTCCAGAGCAGGTAATATCACAATTTCCAGAGCGTAATTTTCACAATTTCCAGAGCATAACAAAGTCAAAAGAAACACAACGAAGGTAGGTTACCAACACCACAATATAACAATTATACTAACAACTGAATTAAATTTATTCTGACGA